ACAGAGATCCGCTTGCCTCTGCCTCCCAAGTGCTGGGATTACAGGTGTGCGCCACCACGCCTGGCTAAAGGTCTTTATTTTTAAATTAATTTTAATTGAATTTTGTGTCAATTTCTTTCTTTTTTTTTTCTTTTTTTGGGTCTTTTTGAGGCAGGGTTTTCCAGCTGCCTGGAACTCACTAGTAGACCAGGCTGGCCCTGAACTGACAGAGATCTGCCTGCCTCTGCCTCCTGATGCTGGGGTTAAAGGTTTGTGCCATCTGAATTTCATACAATATATTTTGATCATATTTAGATCCCCTCCTACATCTGCACCTCCTGTATCTCCCCCACAAATTTCTTTTGTGTTTTCAAATGCCCATCTGTGTAGGTTCATAGACTGGAGGCTGGTCAACCTACTAGAGTCTCACCCTGAAATAAGTTCTTTTTTAACAGTTCAGAGAAGTCACTTGACATTTTCTCTTGGGCCACTTGTTCGGGTGTCCTATTTGAATAGAGTTCAGTAGAATTCAGTATCTTGAGGTAGCAATTTAAATTTTTTTTTTAATTCTTTGACCATTTCATACATCTATATACTGAATTTTAGTCCTTTCTACCCCTATTACTATTTCATCTTCCTTTCTTCTTGTGAAATCCCTCCTTTCCAACAAGTCCCCTCCTTTCACGTCAGAGAGAGAGAGAGAGAGAGAGAGAGAGAGAGAGAGAGACAGAGAGAGAGTGAGAGCGAGAGAGAGCGAGCAGTTGAGTTTAATTAGCATTGTCTGCATGAGCACAGGTGGAGGCTGTTTACTGGAGCATGACACCACTGAAGTAAGTGATATCACTTTCCCAAACACCATTAACTGCCCACAGTCTCTCAGGGAGGGGCATGGCCTCATGAGCTCTTTCCTCTTCCATAATAATATATTGACAGGTCCCATCAGGTGCAGGTCTTTTGCAGGTAACCACAGGTGTAGTGAGTTCATGGAGGCATCGACTATGTCATGTCCAGAAAATGCTGTTTTACAGCAGTTTTCTCCAAACTCTGGCTCTTAGAGTCTTTCCACCCCCTCTTCCAGGATGTCCTCTGAGTCTTGAAGGAGGGTACAGAGATCCTATTTAAGGCTGAGCACTTCACACTCACTTATTCTCTGCACACTGACCAGTTGTTAGTCTCTGTATTAACTGCTGTTCACTGAAAAAAGAAGCTTCTCTAATGAAGTCTAAGAACTGCAGTAATCTATGGGTATAAAGATAAGAGTTTGTAAGGTCATTTGATACCATCTCCATTTAACAAAATAATAGTGGTGGATTCTCTCCTAGGGCCTAGGACTTTTCCATTCAGGGGTTCTTGACTGGGTTTACAGTAGTACCAGGCATGAATTCCTCCTGTGGAGTGTACCTTAAACACACTTAGAAAGTGGTTGGTTACCCCAACAACATTCATTCCATGCTTGCACCAATAAGCATGTAA